CCTGCTGTAGAATAGTTATTTAAAAAGGCACGCGATCCAGCGACCCTATCGTATTGATGAACAGTTGTCCTCGGCGACGTCTGACAGTTTTGATGCTAGTTGTGATGAAGTGAATGATCATGGGACTGAAAATTCGAACGAACCGGAGGCGTTTACTACAGGCGCGTTTGAAATCGACAATATTCCAGCATGTGCTTTCTTTCATTGTGATTTTGAGGTGATGCTTCTTCATTCTTGTAGCAAAGTCCAAGTCATACAAAACGAAGGAATGAATGATCCATCGAGTCCCGAACTTGAGCGCGCAACGTTCGTGAACGAACAAATGATGAATGGGAGGAGAATGGTCGATATTCAACCAGAGAGGAGTTTCTGATCAATAGTTTCCCAGCCCCTGTGTAGTTTGGATCTGAACGACCTCACATAGCACATAACGAGCTTGAGAATGAACTGCGCTCATCACTTGGTTTGTCTTCATTATATGCCAGAGTCTGTGTCATTGGTTACTTTGTGTCTGGTCCTGATAGGTCTGTAATGGTTAAGTTGGGAGACACTAAGCTATCGTTTGTAACAGACGCTGGTCAGTGACGAGTGCTCGTTAGCTGGTAAGCCAGATGTGATGAAAGAACGCATGAATAATCTCTCACACATCCGTAAGCAAATGGAGTTTCAAGAACTTATTGCTCACTTACCAGTTACGAGTAGATAAACAGACCGTTTGAATTTTGGAAAACGTACTTCGAGTAGGTATTGCTACGTCATCCCCTAAATAAATGATCTGAGTATCCTCGCATTCAATCCAATGGGCAGGATCTTATTGGCTGACTGTAGGTACGGCAATAAGGTACTGGACGTGAGTGGTGGATGTATCTTCATTCCTTTCACCATTGATCGCGGCGGAAAACGGTGCATATGGTTAGAGACTAAACATCAGAGGACCTAGTGACTCAATATTAACCCAGTTTTCAAACAACTGCTAATCGTAAGTTTAGGAAGGCGGCGATGAGGAGTCCTAAAGACGGGTTGCTTCACGCAGGGCTGAAACAAGGGTCTGAAGAGGTGGCTCGCTGTTTTAGAAGCGGTATAATTCTGATGAAGATCTCATTGTAAGTTGGGTTGAGCCTGGTCAGCAAAGATCTTCCGTCAGTATGCGCTGCACGGTATATAGTAGGAGTCGATGAATTAAGTCCGGAGTTTGTTCGACCTTTTGAACAGCAATTTAGTTTTGAGGTGGTAAAAGTGTTGTCCCCCATTCCCGTAGGATGTTTACATCTGAATTAGGTGTAGAAGTGGCTCTGTGCCAAGCAATACATAATCAGTTTAGTCAATTATCACTCGTAAACCGTGTGAACGTTCTCGCCGGGTGACTGGTGCGTTTCCAATCAAAGTGACTATCTTATAGGTATTTCTCTTGTTAACTGTGTCGGATAGAATCATCAAAAGCAACATTCCTTTTGAACAAGAACAACCACGTCAACTTGTCTGCCGTGTGAACGAAACCAAACTGGATGGGGAAGGTGTCAGAAGTAGCCAACCACAAAAGTCCCAAGGTACATGCACCCCGTGATTTCCAGGTAAACAAAGTATATAGAAACTGACATGCTATTGGGATTCCATGCAGGGAGGATTAGGCCACTTGAATGTCGGTTACAGCATACAGACTTTTCCTGGTCCCCATGTTTTTCTACTAGGCCTTGTGATGCGCATCTGGTGCAAAGAATAACAATCTGATTTGGTTAGGCTTTTCAGTCGCATGAGGGTTCTATCCAGTAATAAGTGGTAGCGCCAGTACTGATGTATTTGTTAAGTAATCTAGGTCACTGAAGTGTAGTGCGCACAGGATAAAGCAGTCAGTTCTTGTGATAATTATGAGTACACCGAGTCGGTTTATCTTTTCCGCTTTTGTGATCCGTCCCGTCGGCCCCTGACTGCTTTCCTTGTCTGATACGATCGCCAGAAGGCTTGGATCATCGTGACACCCTCTTCCAAAACACGCTGCTCCTCCTCTTCTTGTTTGCGTTTTTCTTCCTCCAATCGACGTTTTTCCATGATTTTCAAGTACTCTTCTTCCAGCGTCTAAAAATAGAAACACGCTTGGTAAGATTTCGATTTGAGTCAGTCTTCAATGTCTGGAAGCGTTTGTTCGACTCAATCCCCGTGCACTCATGGACATAGGCAATTTAAAAAATTCAGAGAATCTTTAGATTAGAATAAAAGTGTACAGGATGTTACGTCTACTGGGTGTTTCAGCTGAATGAGCAAGCTCCCGGAACAAGAGGTGGAACACTTTATCCATATGATGGGACTCGTAAAATCACTGTCACAGTAATTCCCCCAAGAGGCACTAATCTCCTGCTTTCACGTCATAGCTTCTCAACTCTCGCGGTTCTGGATAAGGAACATCCAACACAGTTCAAACAAGACATGCTTGGGGATGTTGCCAAGTCGGTTGAAAGGGATTACAATGCAAGAGTAGAATTTATCTCTGATGTTATCTGATATTAAAATACGGTGCGCTCTGGTCATAAGCACACGCCATCCCTAGATGTCAAAGCCGTTGTTCATGATCGTCACTGCTCTGGAGATCTGGTCTGTGTTGCCGGTTAGGGCGGTTTCGGTTGTCTGGAGACCGATGGTGCCAGACCGCCACCTGCTGCTTGGTAGTTCTACGCTTGTTGATACGATAATTCCTCCACACGATGGCATGCTTGTTGCGAGTTAAAAGTACAACTAAAGTGTGTATGTAGATGCTGATAATAGTCATAGACCTACGAACTTTATCTGGTTAAAACTGTTTCTTAGCTTTCGCACAATGGGTGATGAAGCTTATTCCATTTTCTGAAAAATTGCTCAAGGGATGGTTTTACCGAGTGTCTCTAGAAGAAGTGGTTTACTCGGTCCAAGTTCTCGCCAAGCTGTAGCACTCATTTTTGTACCAATATCATTCTCACTTGAGCAGTTTTCTTTCATCATCATCATCATCATGGACAACATGACATCAATATTCAACACTGATGCTTCACTGCCTTAGAATGTCATGGTTGTACGAGGGCTGGGATATTGCCAGGGCTCCCATACCTAGACTGGAGGACGATTATGGTCCTCAACCAAAGCCTTTGGCTCAAAAGCCTAACCGCAAGGCAGCGGTGCTTGGCGGGAAATGCAAATGCATTACCACTTCTACGGAACAAGTCGCCACCCGTTCCAACCCTCAGCCTGGAGGGCCAGGAGGCTGTGTTTGTCAGACCTCTAACCATTGACCAGCCTGGTATGAGAGACTCTGTGAGTGTCGCGCGGACAACCCCCAGTATAGCTCAATGGATTGCTGAGGTGCACAAACCGTCACACCACGGTCATGTTCAGTCTCTTCATGACAGAGTTTTCTTTACTGTCACTGCTACTTCGGCTAGTTTACACCGGAGGTAGGAATCACTGTATTTGAGATTCGTCCTCATTGGACCTCATCAGCGGTGCACCAGTTCAGTATGTCAGGCCAACCACACACATGGCAAATGCTGACCTGTGTTGGTGGAGTAGGGGTAGCCTTTATCCTTGCAAATCAGACAGAAGTTCAAATCTCGGCATAGTCAAGAATATTAATTGCTGATGAATCCTAATAGGGTCATGTGCTCAAAATCTTTGGAGCTGACTAACCAGAACAGCTGTGTGGGGACCGGACGATAACGTTTGTGGAAAAGGGGTATGAAAACGAATTCTAAAGTCCGGAAACTACTGAAAAGTGTCCATGCATTTGGCAGAATGTTAGTCCTATTACGTCACAATATCAAGAAAAATGAACGGTGTATGTAAGAAATGCGGGCAACTGCAAGGGATTTTCCTGCTTAAGAATTTCACTTTCTGCTTATGAACTCACGTGCTTGTCAGCCAATTGCATAAAGCATCTAACTTACGGAGAACTTCTCCTCGAGTTCTGTCAGCTCCAGTTTATCGTTCGTGTACTCCTCATCCAATTGATCATATTCACTCTGTGTTGCAACAAGAAGCAGGGGAGGGGGCGAAAGAACACGTAATGAACTCTTCAAGTAAGTGTTAGAAAATGTTCGAAAATAACACCTGAATGGTGACTGTCATCGAGTGTTGCTGTTGTATCGCTGGATAGTGTGACAACTTTCATACAGCGTGCCGGAAGAGTAGGTTACATCGTAAGTTGTGTCCTAGCGAAACACTCATCTGCAAACCAATTTGGTTTTGACGGGAGGCTCACCTGGAACCCGGCTGAATCTCTCGTTTGTGACGTCTTTTAAGCAACTGAATGGACTGTACCACACCGCCTCATGATTTAGTTGGTACGATATTTCAGATGTCGTGAGACATGTATAGACGCGATATACTACGCACACATTACATTACAAACATTAGCTCGCTCTAGTCATGAAAATTTATTGCTATTTTCCATCTACTTTTGAGTCGAAGTGACTCTTCTCCAGAAAACCCACATCAGCGCCTAGAGGAAATCGCTCCTTTGTGGGACCTGGTCTGACCCCAAAAAGAAATAGTAAAAACCTAATACTGAAGAGCTCTCAACCACCGCATGTCTTGCAGTTCATACTAAACTGCATGTCCAGTGTCCACAGGTTTCAGACCCTTTAGATGCAGGCGATCACCTTCTGTCATCTCCCTGGATTTAGTAGAAAAATGAATGGTCCCCAAGTAACTAAAGCGTACAGCCCACGAGGTAATCGGGCATGGTATAGGGCGGATACTAAGCTCGTTGGTATTTCGATCGAGAGTGAGATATGTTAGGACATACACGTCGGAATTTATTCAGCTGACGCATTCTTTTCATTCACGGGGTTGAGTATTGGATCGTGAGTGTCGCTGATCTACACAGAACAAAATTTTACCTCCAGACTCCTCTGAGTAGCCAACCACAGTGGGTTCCACTTTGCTCAACCGAGTGTGATGTGGCAGTTATCTTCCGGGTCAGATCGATCATACGCTTCGTATGTTACCTTAATGAGTCCGGAATATTTCGTGTCGCTACCTTTCAGTGCCCACTGTTCATTCACGGACACAGTTACTACATAGCATGGAACAGATTTCACAATCGTAGCCAACAAAATCCAAGGTAGTAGACCAATGCAAGACACTTTTGGATTAGTTAGCTAACAACTAGCTCATACCCAAAGCAAGATGGGGTACGTGATTCTGTGTGTATACCGTAAGCTAAATTTTCTAAAAATGAAGTTACAGGTGTTCAGTGTTCAAGCGTCGATTAACTCAGTGACTTTGAAAAAACTGACCAGAGAGCCCTAAGAGGAGAAGAACAAAATGGGAATACAAAATCACCAAGACTTTCAGTAGAACTAATTTTTTTTACTCTGTTTGGGTGTCTTTTGCGGCAGCCAGTCGCGTGGGTTCTCCAATGTAGACACGCTCGCAAGCATTGCTAATTTCGAAAGTTGTTCTTAACCGTCTTTTGTTACTAATGATTTGGTGCGATAACCTTCAGGTTTCAGAGGAATATTCCATGTGATCTCCAAGGCAATTCACCTGCGTCTGTGATCCAAAAAAACGCCCTATCAGTTCACCAATTATAATCCCCACTATTCATCATCTTACCAAGTCCAACTATGCACGCATAAGCGATGATTTCCTTTGTTTTCTATGCTACAGCATGTTGCATGAGAACGACAACTCGGTTTCCGTAAGTGTTTCAGAATTCTCTACCCAATTAACGGAGACATACCTGCAGCGCCATCATCTCGCGGTCGAATTTTTGAATCACGCTTTCAAGTTCCGTCTCCATCTTGTAAACCTGGTTCCTTTGGCGAACCTCTACTTTCTGATTGTCTTCGACCAACTTGCTGTAAGAGGCCTTCAGACCATGCAATTCCTTTTCCAGCTCAGTTTGCTTTTCTGGGGGAGTAAAAATCACGGGAAAATATGGATCATTCCCTTTTATCGTTTGGTTCATTTCTCGGAAATCGCTTGAACAAAGTAACGAAAACAGGAACTGAATGGTGTTTGAATAACTTTACTTGAAATATTTGAAGAAGCTCATTTTCATTTTGACGGGGATTGCTTCTGAAACGAACTTCTCGTGTTGGAAGATAATGGTCCTTAACCCTCCCACCGACAACTCGTGCGGTGAATCCAGAATCCATCAAATTCCAAAACACTGGGTGCAAATATTACCAACATCATTACCGTAGTTTTGTTGTTAATGCATCTTTTCCAACTTCATATCATGTAAAAAATTTTGGTGCACAGTTGTAATGTGTTCGGGCTTTCCACGACGTTTTCATAACAATACATAACGTCTGTGTCACACATCTGTTCTGCTGACGAGTTTGCAGTAACTTATGCTTTCGATTGTCCAGCGCCAATGGTTCGCTACCGTTCAGCCATTATTTACTTGAAAGCCTCATTGCGAAGAAACCGAATGGGAAATGGACCTAGTGTCAACACCAAAAGCTGCGGTGTTTAGGCTATGTATTGCGCATGCCCAATCATCATCTGCCGAAAAAAGTACCGTTTTCCGAGCTCACTTCAGAGTGGCGCAAGCAGATAGGTGGTCAACATTTGACCTGGCAAAGAAAGATGAAAGAGGCTATGAAAAGTCTGGGCACTGACGTTGCGTCTCTCCTTCCGGAATGCAATCCGCGTGGTTTTCACTGTGCATGGTTGAAAACGTTGCAAGATGTGGCTGCTAATCGATATTAGTGGTGTCCTCGTAGTTCGTTACAATCCAGGTTGCCTAAATTAATATCTGGATGTGTAGACATCGCGGGATGAAAGATAGATTTCTTAGTATTAGACAAAAAATGAGCAATTCTAGAAAGTGATTCTCTGTGGTCGCCCGTAAGAGGGACACAAGCGTCACCTGTGATAGAACTAATTTGCGCAGAAATGAAACTATATTTACAGACCGTAGCAACTAACTGCTCGGGAAGCTATGTAGACTAATACTTGTATCATCCTGGTCACAGTTGAAGGAAGATGAACGACTTATTATAACAGGGTGTTCCATCATTAGAGGAAACGTCTGTGAACAAGTTACCTAAACTCTCGAGGATCACCGGAAATTAACTTATGAATAAGCTAGCTGAGGGAATATCTGCAGTCACTGTGGGAACAAAAACAAAACCCGAAGATTAACGAAGTAGAATTTTTCATAGGAGGTCTCAAGGATGGCATTTTATAAGATCAAGTAAGGTAGCCCATGCTAGGTGCTTATGGGCCCCTTCAGTACCGTTTTTAATGGAACAACTGATAAGGGTGATGGCTCATACTTCATAAGCAGACTGCTATAACGAGCTATCGGGATGACCGGATGGGTTTCTGGTAACAACTTTAAGGTCGTTGGTAACTGACGGGTGACAGTATCAGTGTTTGAAGTAATCTTCCTCAATAACACTTACACCAGAGAACACTAGCGCTTTAACGACGTACAACCGTGGCAATTTGTTCGAATAAAACCTTGTAAAACCTTGATGATGAAGCAAAAGAGGAAAAGTAGGAGGCTTAAGTTGACTTAGGTCAGTCACAAGCATTCGGATGGCATACATCTACGAAGCCCATTTATGCAATCTGAATAAAAACTGACACCATGAATGCCACCGATATCGTTTGCCCCACCCCTCTATTTTACAGTAACCTCAGCCAAACATTGACGGGTCACAGGAGCCCTTCTCTGGAAGACGAAGAACTTCAATAACACCAAACTTTTCGTAACACCCCTAGTTCTCTCCTTCCTCCAAATTACCACCACTTCAGATTATACAAGGAGGACAACACTCTTATCGGTGGACAATAACTCGGCATGCATAGTACATGACCCAGTGTTGGATACATTCCTTCAATGAGGTGTCTTCTCTTTGTCGAAAGACCGAGTTTGGAATGTTAAACTATCACCCCAGATATAATGCACTGTATGAAGCAGAAAGCAGGATTCAGAATACAGTTGAGCTTTTCGGCCCGATCACTGTCAATAAATGGCGACCTAAAACGTAGAAAAACAGTGGGGCTCCGAGTTTTGTGAATTTCGAACAACTTTTTCACACCTCTCGGAAAGAATCAGTTTTGATGTACTGAAAATCAGTTAAACTGGAAAGTGGAACAGCAACCCTGCTACTTGCTCCGTTCGTGATCGTCAGGGTTTGAAACTCCACTGAATCTTATGTTCTCACCAGCCTAGTGATTATGTTGATTTTGAAAAAAATATTTCGTCTCTACGGCTGTTCACTGAAAAGCCCGTGGTTAGAACCAGACCCAAGCCTCTGGATTTATCCTCTTTAGGCTCAGGTATCATCTCAGTCCTAGTGTTCCCTTCGAATTAAATACCATCTATCAACAATTTGCCCATGACTGACGGCTGTGCATGTGATTCGAGAATGGCAGTTGTTTTCCACGTGTTTCTCACAACTGTCAGTGGTCCACTGTAAAGGGGAAAACGCCGGATAAGACTTCGATACCATTTTCACTAACTAATTCTTACAACAAAGACCAAGAAAGAGAGAGTTCGTTTCGCTTGGGCTAAATCTGCGCTCATTATTTATGGACAACAACGCACAAAACGAACCACATACCTTGACTTTTCTGCAGTATAAGATTCTTTCTTTGTTGCTCCTCATCGACCGTTCGTTTCACGCGTGCCTTCATGTAGTTCTGGAGATTGTTCATCTCGTTCTGTAAACTTTCAACCCTGTTTGATGTTTTCTCATCCTGAATTGAAAAATCATGTAGTTGGTTTTACTGCAAGGAACGTTTTACGGATATGTACAAGAAGACAAACGAATCTTCATCAAATTAGTTTGTAAAACATTGCATGATATTTTTTTTAAATGCAATCAGACATCCACTGAAACCACTGAAGGCATTTTGTCCTGACATTTCCGAAAAGCAGCAGTACTAGATCTTCGAAACTTTCAGAGTCAAAAATTCTTCGTAAGAATTCTCGGTCTTTGAAATTTTTCGCCCACAAAAAGCCTAAAGTATAATCCATCATGTGTTGCAGTTGGTCTCAGTTACGCAAATGATAATTCAAGTAGGAAGTAACCATTACTCGTTTCACACGTTCAGACGCCAAATGGAGCAGAGTGTTTATCAACAGATTGAACCGTAAATTAGTAGACCCGTAACTCAGCAATCTTATGAGTAGTATGCTCCAGATAGCGAGCACAGTGTGATATCTCGAATACGGTGACATGTGCAATGTGTGGCAAACTGTGTGCTGCACATTTGCTTGAAGAATATAATAAGATATTCATATGGGTTCAACTGAATACCCCATTAAAACTAAATTAGTTCGTAAAAGAGTGTAGTTCTCAAATTGCATACTTTTGGGGCTCAAATAGAATATACGTCTGATTGAACCTCGGGTACTGACTGCGACTACGTGATAAGCCCTAAGAGGGTCAAAGCCGGTAATGGGCTGTCGGAGATCTTCCGAAGCTTTATGGTTAGTATGTCCCGTTGACGGATATCTGTTTCCCTGAAGCGGGCAAGCTGCTTGGACCTCCCAAAATTAGACAAGAAAATTTTCCCTTAAATTCTAGGTTGGTAGTTGTTGCTAAAAGGTCTCGAAAAACCGATTCCATCAAATGAAAGCCAATATTTACATGTTACCGTAAAACTCACCACGATAAAGTATGCTCTCAACTAGAGATTTGCTTGTTTGACTGCACTGGCGTGTAGCATCACTCCAACGAATTTTTCTTTCAGCTTAGAATTCAAGACAACGACAGTACTTCATCATTACAATATGTGGCATTAGCATACAGACCCCTCATCGGTTCCAAAAACGTTGAATCTCTAGTACACGCATCTTCTGGTTTTTTATTCATAAGATTTCGTTACATTCTGAATCAGAGTTGAACTGCGTTATTCCCCTGAAAAATTTCTCGGATTGTAAACATGTCGGGACTGACGAACTGAGAAGCTAATGCTCCCTCCGATACGTATTTGGTAAACTCTCAAGATAGGCCTCGCTCCCCACATATCCAATAGGAGCGTTCCCCTCCTGGTGTGACCCGGTGTGATCTGGTGGGATAAGCAAACACTCGGGAGACTATAAATACCAAATTTTTTCATGATGGTCCCTCCTGGTAGGGTGCCATCACGTCGAAAAACATCAGTGGATACCTGCGTTCAATAACTAACGCGAAATGCGGCCTTCATTGAGCTCCAGGCACATTTTCAGGAGCTCTATCTAACCAATCTAAACTTGGGGTAGTACTAAGGAGAGTTGAACTGTAATGGGCATTCTTAAAGCTATATATATATATATATATATATATATATATAGGAATATTTGCGGGCATGGATGAACAGAACTCGTCATTTCGACTTACCTCTCTTTTGTTTCTCTCATTTAACTGATCAAGCTCCTGACTTAGTTTTTCTATTCTATCCAGTGATTCGTTGAGACGGACGTGAATCTCCTTTACAAATTTCTTCTTACGTTTCCTATCCTCCGGAGTACTGAGCAGTTCCGCGAAGCACACACTTCGGAGCCGCAGCAATAGTGTCATAAAATTGTGCTTTTGTTCTTCTAACGTGGATAGCAGCGTGATCTCGGGAACCGATTCGGTACGTCGAAACACTGAATATGGCAGGTTTAACAAAGAGTCTGAATAACTGCTTTTGGGATTAACAGCAACAATCTGTTGCATTAATTCCTTCGCGTATGGAGATTGATTCATTTTCTTGGCTATTTGGCGCGTAAGGTGCAGGAGTTCATCTTGCAGCTGTGGGAAAGCAAAATGACAGAAAACTATCTTCTGTTGAGCAAAATTAGCTTTCTGGTTACATTTTTGTGAGTTATACCGTTCAGAGCACTAAAAATAGGTACCCTCTACTTGTTCCCCTGTAATGCATTACTTGATTTTGCAGAATGATTTTAAAGGCTATGGAATGATGTGAGCGAAATGTCAAAATATCAAAACTACGTATTCCCACAATCTAATGAGTGGTTTTAGAACTTGCTAAAGTAGCAAGAAGATGAGCGTCATAGGAGGTTAATATCTAGGCTTTGTAATAGAATCACAAGAATTGGATTTACTAATTTCATAAAGTCCACCTACATCTCTATGAATTGCTGTAATCCTGGATTATTCTTATTGGAATTGATAATATTTTTATACTCCAACTCGTGAGCCTGTTAACTAGTAGTGGGATCCAATGCCACACAATCAGTAGTTGCTAACTGGGAGTGCGATCGTCTCGCAAGTGAACAGGATTACCACCAGCACTCTTCAATCACACGTCTAAGTGCGATTTGAACAAGCCTTTTTCAACCGACTCTAGCTGAATGGTGTGGTGTTGGGCTAATGACCTGAAGGTTGATGAACGTTTATCAGCTGTGTATTGTCGGCCGTTCTGATGCAGCTGTGCAATGTTCGTCGACCTTTCAGCTTTGGATAACTTCATTTGCCAAAAGAAATTCATATTTCATATATTTGTTGGTCGCAATGGTGAAATGATTTACGTTCATGATACCAGATTTTAGGATATATCAAAATGTCTTATAACACGATGCTGTCACCTAGGATGGGCGATTCCCATGAATCGCCTCCGTATCTTCGACTGATTAGAGAAAAGGTTTTTATCGCAAGATGTTTTTACCAGTCACTCTACCCTATGGCGAAATTCCACTCCCAACTGAACTGCC